CATTGGTTTACAGTTGCTCAAAATTACTAAAACAGCCTTCTACATCTACCACAGCTTGTGATGTTATTTTCAGTAAATTTTATTAACAAGTTATTAGTTTCCATTCTTAAAAAATTAAATGCAACATGAAGAATTTGCTATTTTGCTAAATCACCTAGAGAATTAATAGAACACACTGTGGCCATGGACAATGAGAATAGATTCAAGGTAGGTCAAGAATATTTTACATTCTGTTGAGTGGGTCTAGAAATCCAGACAATTAATGAGTTCAAATACTTCATCTTTGGCATGGAATTTGATTCACTAAATGTCATATTTATTCTTGGAGAAAATGAAGTAGGTTACGTTCAGAAGTTCAAATTTATTATATGACAGAAGTATTCAGGGTTTTTTCCTTTGATTTTTTTAGACAATCAAGACATTAAACTGAGCTTCCGTTATCCCTGTTGCAGAAACAGTTATATAGTAATAAGAAAGCACAATAGTTCATGTAAGAACAACAGGTTATTGGTCCAGCAGCTTGACTGCTCAGTTGTCAAATATTAGTAAAGAACTCCATACAAAAGAGAGAGAGAGTGAGAAAGTATTAGGAAAGACAAAAGGCCAGACAGTAAGAAGAGATTGGTCCCTCCCTTTCATAAATACACACACAGTAGATGCTACAGCAAAGGAAAACAAGGAAAAGGAGCTACTGCTTTCGGTGGAAACACAGCCTCCAAGAAAAGGAGCAGAAGCCGGAGGAAGAGGTAGCAGAGTTTACAGTAGATTTTTAAAAACAAGTATCTTGGTAAACAGGTGTGATTTTATGCTCTTACTGCTAGACCAGAACAAGCAGATGAGGTAAAATACTCCTGTACTCGTGCTGGGTACAAGCTGCTGATGTTTATCATTATTATATTTCTTATATCATCCTAGTGCAGCAAAGAAAGACAAAGTATTCCATTACATTGCCATGGACTAACAGAACAGCTCCACTAACTTCTGCCTTTGTCAAACTTCAGAGCCGAGCAGACCATGGTTTTACGGTCACTATTTCATCAACAAAAAATGTGGATTCCAAGTATATGAAAGCAGTTTTCTTCAACTGAACATCAAGACAAAACTACAGTCTTCTAACATAATGTTCTGAACCTACACGCTACACCCACCTTCAGCAGCATAGCCTCTGTTGCACACACCAGGACAGATGTGAGACTGATGGCAACTGCTGTTCCATTTTCTATCTGTGTTAGCAGGAAAATTAATTGCCAAGGTCTGCATTTAATTTCACTGTACTGAAATCTGGGACTCAGAAGGAGGTCTCTGAACAAATTTATGTGTCCTGAGACGAACAGGCAGTTGCATCAAGTGATATGATAGTCCCGTCTGGCTGTAAACTATGAAACTTAAGACCTGAACATTCCCATTAGGCTCTTAGCATTACAAACAAAAGCTTACTTCATAGCTAACATTCTTTTTGCACTAGAGGGAAACATAAGAACTGCTAAGAATACATATTGCATAACTTGAGCAACAGCCATCATTAGTCTTTCAGACAATGCTTGGAACTTGCAGTTTTCTGTGATGTTGCATCATGCATCACACAACACATTGCACGAGCTGTGCAGTAAATAATTGGAGAACCACATAATCTGTGGAATTACAACTGGCAAACAGCCAGGAAAACTACTTGCACTTTGTGCAATAGGCAGAATAGAATTAATTTTAATGCTGCTTCAGATATAATGCTTATACCTCCCAAAGAGACGGATTGATATTCTGCAAAATGTGTTACCACTATCAGCTAAACTAAACCAACTTTAACCACTGTCATTTAATTATCTTCATCTGTTTTTTCAGCTTGATTTAGACTTAAGTATTAAAAATACGTTATTTTTAAATAACTAGAATATCCAAAAGCTGTTAGAAAGACACTGTTTTAGTTTATTAAACATTACCACATTATATAGCAATTGGGAGGTTTTTTTTGGCAAAGTTATGAAAAGTAGTTTGCTTTACAGAAAATAAAAATGTCATACGTTACCATTCATTGTAATTTCCAGTCTAAGACATTAATAAGTCTTAACTTTGATATCTGATGTGCATTATTTTTCTCTAAGAATAAACAAGGGAACTATTACATCAAAACCAAGTATTCAAGAAGTCATTATTAAAGAAATCAGCACAACTGCAAAACTGGGTGTTTCTGTACTGTGCTCTAATATGGACAGAATCTGTATATTCACAGTTTTAATACTCTGAAGGAGTAAAATGAAGTTGTTCTGATTGGGAATACTTGAAGAAAAAAACTGCTTAAAATATTTTCTATTTATTTATTAATAAAAAGGAGTGTTTTTATCATTATTTGAGTTCTGTGCAATATACAGTCTAATTTACCTGTACCCTCAATGGTGACTGGAAAGACCATGTTAAATACACCAATGTTATCAACCTCACAGACATTCTTATTGTAAGTCAAACAAATAATATATACATGACATAACAGCCAACAGATGAAGTTTAAGGCTTCAGATCAGATTTCACAGTGAGTGGCATGAAACTCCATTTTATAATTTGGTCTTCCATTTCACCATATAGCAAATGTTACCCTCTGTGACATTTTCATTGCACCCCAATGCAATGTTAACAAAGGAATTGAATAATTATACTAACTCGTATTACTACTTTTTGAAATCAGTTCTGCTGAATGCATCATAATCTTTGTTTTTCTTACAACTCTTCTTCAAAGACAATTTACTGTACTTTTGGCAGTGCCATTTGACAAAAACTTGGAGAATAGCTAAGAAAATCAAGCTTCAGGTGATTGACAAAATCAGGCACTAAGAATGAAAAGACAAACACTAGTTTGGTTTTCTGAAGTACTGTGAGAAAGAATTAGAAATTCATACTGGAGTCAGACTGAAGTTGTAGACTTCAGATTTGTACTGGAATTTCCCACTGCCCTTCACACAACTACTGTCACTACTAAAAAGATCTTGTAGAAAATTTGATTTGTAAACTATCTTTCTTACTCTGTTGGAAAATGGATTTGTGAGATTTAAGAATCATTTTTGTCTCTTATGTTTCTTAAAAGTGTAGGATTGATAACATCTGTTAGCAAGTGTCAGTGAAGAAGCAGGAAGGTATAGGTTTCTACTCATGCTCATGTGCCTTCAGCCTAGGCACACTTCTGTAAAAAGGAAGGAATCAGGGGTCTTGTGATAATTAAACACCTTTTTCATTTTCCTAGCAGCAAGTGTCATAGGAAAGTTAAGCAAATTTTATGTTAGGAATGATGTCAAGTTGAATATGAGTCAGCAGTGCCCCAGCAGCCAGGAGGGCCGACCGTGCCCTGGGGGGCATCAGGCAAAGCATCACCAGCCGGCTGAGGGACAGGATTGTCCCGCTCTGCTCTGAACTGGGGTGGCCTCACCTTGAATATTGTGTGCAGTTTTGGGCACCACAATATAAGAAAGATATTTCTCTCTTAGAGAGCATCCAAAGAAGGGCAATGAAGATGGTAAATGGCCTTGAGGGGAAGCTGTACGTGGAGCAGCTGAAGTCACTTGGTCTGTTTAGCCTGGAGACTGAGGGGAGACCTCATTGCAGTCTACAACTTCCTTGTGAGGGGAAGAGGAGGAGCAGGAACTGATCCCTTGTCTATGGTCACCACTAACAGGACCCAAGGGAATGGCCTGAAGTTGTGCCAGGGGAGGTTTAGGTTGGAGATCAGAAAAAGGTTCTTCATCCAGAGGGTGGTTGGGCCCTGGAACTTCCCCAGGGAACTGGTCACAACACCAAGCCCGACAGAATTTAAGAAGTATTTGGATGATACTCTGGAGCACATGGGGTGACTCTTGGGGTGTCCTGTGCAGGGCCAGGAGTGGGACTTGATGATCCTGATCGATTCCTTACAACTCAAGATATTCTATGATTCTATGATTCTATAAACTGAATTATGAAGAAGAAAAACATTCTTAATGTTAAGATCAGTGCTTTGTTCTTAGAAAACAAAGTTGTATTTCTGAAGGTATCAAAGCATTTTAAGCTTTATTAGGATGTTATATAAGGTTAAAGCATAATGATATTATTTAGATATACTAAACTAGCTAGAGGAGTATAGAATCTTTGTGTATCAGAATTGCAGGCAATCCATTTACAGATGTTCTTGAATGCAGGGTATTACTACAACTGATGTCAAATATCCACGCAGTGCAAGGCAATATACAGTAGGTTAAGTGTAACCCAGGGTCTTTATTCTTCTGTGTATTTTGAGAAAGGTACAAAGAACAAGATTACATGTCAGTATGTGTAGTGGTGAAAGACAAATAGAAAAGACAATTCTTAACCAATTTGGGGATCAAACACTGACAAAAGATATCCTTATATACCATCAGATCTGTCTTTTCCTAGCAGAAGACAGCTGGATATCAGAACAGATGAACTTGGTTTTTTCCCAACAGTTATATTTGTATCAACTATTCCACAAAGCAGCTATTACATTAGTGTGCGTGCAATAAGAAAGACATACAGAGGCTATTTCTTTTTCTGAGTTCCACAAAGAAAGCTCTATTTTTAACAATTCATTGTTCAGAGTTACCCAAGCTAAATATATCCGCTTGCCTAACTCACAAGTATTTGTTGCAGAATGCAAATAAACAAAGAGAAATTTTACTGTGTTTCCTAAGCCTGCTGTAATTCTTCGGGAAGAAACAGAATATCACATTGCCAAACAATTCTGAGCCTCAGCAATAACTGCAAGTTCAAATATTGAGACTTGGCAAGACATTATCTGTTCAACACACTCTTTTATAGCAATCATGCAATGTTTATAAAGTGGTGAAAGCGCCTAGGTTTTAGTGAACTTCTGTTCCTGCCATAGTTTACAAAATTTCTTTACCTCTTTTCTCAGTGAATGATTTCCACACTAAGTCTAACATGGCAGTGATAATGATAATATCTAACTCCAGCACTCCAACTGTCCTAAGAAATTTATCAAATCTACAAACTACTGACCTTACCCTAAACCCATCTGATTGCAGGCCAGTTGGCTTAAGTTTTCTTGCCACTCATCAGCACAAACATGGTTATCAGTAGCTGATCTGTGAATAGTCAGGAACATCAAGGAATTCATGTTTTTAGACAGGGTAACTGGAAAGAAAAAAGGAGGAAAATTTCACTGTTATTTCACATAGTTTTATAAATGGAAAACTGAAAACATACAACTACATTAAAAAGAGTTTTCCAAGATGCCAGCACTTTTCCTGGGTTTATAGGCTGAATAGCTGTGCAATTTAAAACCAAGGCAACCGTGGCTATCAGAACCTTTCTAATAATGAGACACTGGTAGCATTTAATCCTGTAAAATGATGTTTCACCCCACAGATAGTACATCCCACTGAAATAATTTCTGGGATGAATGCTGCTTAACATAAGAGTGATTTCACTCTCGGTAACACATACTGTTCCTGTCATAACAATTTGTGGGTGTAGAGATAGAAAAAAACAACTACTATTTACAAGAACAATCATCACCATTGCTTCTCAATCAGTATATCAAATTTTATGAACTGTTTTTATGACGTACAAAAAATTTCTCAAAATGGCCTTCCTAGTCTCAGCATCTTCCTACTTGCTCTTCTATCCACGACATTTTCCACACTACCTACACATTTCCCTGCCACATCACTTTTCTTCTATATTTGCACCGTGACACTTCTCACTGAGTCTTTGCTTTCTCTTTTGCCCACTTCCTTGGATGCTTTCCCAACCTCAATTCAGTCTTCCCTTTGGTAATAATAGAAGGAGCATCCCTCCACCACTGCAATTGTATTCTAAATCAAATTACCAGTGACTACTACCATCACCCAAACATCAACTGAAAGCACCCCACAGGGGAAACTTACCACAGTCCCATTCATCTGAGCTGTCACTGCAGTCTGCCTGCCCATCACACCAGAGCTCACGTGGCACACATTCATGGTTGGCACATTCAAGTTCACTCTCTTCACAAAATGCTGTAAGGACAAAAACATGTTTCCCTCTCAGAAGTAAGTGATCAATGTGAAGTTTACATTGAGACTAAATAAACAAGGAGGGTGAAGACCTGATTTAGGGCGCAAGAAAGTGAGACAGATTTGGCACAAAATTCAGCATGGACATCACTGAGGCAGAAGGTGCTTGCTGCCATGCAGTGGCAGAGGGCATCACAACTCAAAGGGAAGGAAGAGTGTCTGGAAATGCAAGATGCAAAATTACTTAATATCATTTGTGGCCTTGTCATATGAAACCTGTCCAAGCCTCTCAGAAACTCTAAGTAAAAATATTGTGTTCCATGCTTTTTTCCAGACTACTCCATATTTGTTTAATTATTCATGTTCTTTGAAAAAATATTTTACTGTAATCAATACATATTTCCTCTCATCCACAGGAATTCTATATCAATTTTTGGATTCTCCTTTGCTTTTTAAAATTATGGATTTATTTTTATCTCCACTTTAGAGATGGGGAACTGCTGTACAGATAGAAATGCTTTTGGTCCACAGTTTTTTGCCAGTTGACAGCATGAGATAGGGATTTCCAGAGTCTGTTCAGTGCAGGAACTACAAGAGCATCCATATGCAAGTGACTTCCAGCTTTCTCCAAATCATAACAAACCCTCTCCCAAAAGGCAGGTGTGTAGCATTACAGTACCCTCCTCACTAACACATTTCTAGCTTCTATAAACTCTATCATTAGAAAATTCTAGAGCCGGGGTAGGGCAGAGAGGGAGAGAATACATGGAAGGAAGTGCCTTCCAGTACTGTCTATGTTTGGCTTATGTACAGCATTTATACTGCCATACAATCCAAGCATTTATTTACAACACAACTGCAGAAAGTATACTCCACAGTGAAAACCATACAGACAGAGCAGGCAGTGCTGCCTACCCTGATACGAGTGATCTTTCTGGCTCTGGAATAAAGCATGCATAACCATAAAAAGCTCTCTAATTCTGCCTTCCAGAGAGAGCATAATTCAACTGGGGAAACTTTGCTTCCATTTAGAATATTCAAGCCCCAATACAAAAGCAGAGAAGAAACCTACTCTGGTAATTATAAACTAGCTTAATGTTAGCCCTTCTGTAATCCTTTTCCCTGCCATGATCTTAATGTGTGATCATGAGTAAATCACTTTAATTCACTTTTTTAGATTACAGTGCACAGCTTGGAAGTCAAATGGTATAATCTTCATAATTAAAATTAATCTTAAGCAGATTAAGAAGTGTTTTGAGAGCTGTCTCTTCCCCCTCACAAAAAAAGGTTAATTTAATGATATATGCAGGCTGCTGATCATTCTGGCAAATATATTAATATTCTCCACTTAGTGCATAAAATGTGCCTACTACCCTGTCCCTGGCAACAGAAGTCAGAAGCAACTTTTTTTAAAATCATAAAATTGCATCCTAACATCCCAGCAAAAATTACAAAATACCAAGGTTACCCAGAGAATGAAAACTTCAGTTTTCAACCAACTTCACCAACCAGCCATCTCTTCTTCCTTGTGCAGGCTGAGTGTCACCCAGTATGTCTTTCTAGTTCCTTGTCTTGAAGACATGCCCACACACCAGGTTTTCTCAAAAGAAAAGAACTCAGGGTACCACTAATATATTCATGAAACTGAAGCTAACATCTCACCACACCCACTCCCAGCTTCATACACAGAGTGGGAGCCTGCAAAGAAGCTGCTGCTTGCAGGTCTTCCACCTCTGCCCATCCCACTAGTCAGTGGCACGGTGGCAAGAGAGCACAGGACAGCCCTGCAGTGGACCAGGGAGCCTGTTGTACCCTGTCAGCACTTTGAGCCAGCTTACACTGTGCACACGGCCAGTGTGCCCATGCCAGCAGTGTACCATACTAAGTTTTGTACCTTGACAGTTATTACAGTTCAGATTGCAGAAGTCTTTGGAGCCACGTGGGGAGATGGAATCTAAGAACTGTCATTCAGAAGGGAAATCAAATAAAGAAGTGAAACATATGAAATTTACCGATGAAGAGATCAGAAGGAAAATCAAGTAGAAATCAAGAAAAAAAGAGCAGCGAGTAGCTATGCCTGCATGGAATAACATTGAGAAACATTGAGAAAAGGAGTCAAAAGGCTACAAGGAATAAAGAAAAGAAGTACAAAGACACAAAATCAAGGAGGGGGAGAGAGAGAATAAAAAATAGGGAGAACCAGAGTGACCAAAGGGACAGCAAGGATCCAGGTATGAGAACAACAGAGGACACAAGATGAGGAAAGAGATAAATTGGTGCCATAGAAAAACTGAAAAGGAAACTGAGGGAATGACTAAGCCTTTCTATATGTGGAAACATTTTTACTTTCATTTATTTTGCACCCTAACATCCCAAAAATGTGATTAGCCCTTTATGGGACTAATAAACTGCATAAGTCCTTACAGCAGTTCTTTTCATCCATCATGTCAGGGCAGTCTGGGAAACCATCACAGATCATAGTGTGTTTGATGCACAGCTTCTTCAAAGGACACTCCCACAGGCCCCTTTCTCTACAACCTGGAGGCAGAGAAGCACAGCTCTGAAACACTTGCATGCAATATCAAATGAACTGTTTTCTTCTTCTTTAAAAGTCCTGAAACACACTAAATATTTTCACTTGCAGTATAAACTTTAGGAGGTACCAAGAATACTTACTAATGAAGAAATGGAGAAAAGATTGTCAGAGTGCACACTTGATAAATGGATCTAAAATGTATAACACCTCAATACTTCACTGCTTTTCAAATAATAATTATATTATGCTGCACATATCTATAACCTATGGTTTAGGCACAAGCTCAATTAGCTCAAAACCCATACACCACTACTCTTGAAATACATTTACTAATAATATAAGAACTTTTCTAATCTTCAAGTCTGTAAAAATTCCTTTAAAAGCATACCACGCAGACCTTTGATCTTTCAAAAGCAAATCCTATGAAAGCACGGTGTCTCCATGAAACACATGTAGAAATATATACTTTTTTTCTGGCAGTGCTGACACAGAACCTAATGCAGAATCACAATGAAAGGTAGAAAGAGTTGTTAAGTATTGACCATAAACAGTACTCCTGGTTCCATGCTCTGAGACCAAGCCAATTTGAAAGCTACATGAATCTTCAATTTTCCCTGCATTATAATGCAGGGTACACAGGGCATTATTATTTCTTCAGAGTCCTGCTAACCAGCCTCTCTGATTTCAAGAGGAATACTTACAAAACTATGTCAAATTGCTTTGTCAGTAAAATTCCTGCTAGTCATCTAGAGGAAATTAAGAATGGTCCAAACTACAGGTTTTTTTCTCTTTTGCTTTTTGCCGGAGGTTTTTGTGCTGGGTCTTGGGTTCTTGGTGGGGAGCCAAATCAAAACTTAGACAATATGAAAATAAGAAAGCTTAGACCCCCATAATTTATGAACTTTGCAATTTTTTAGTAGTGTTTACAATTCATTAAATAAATGTTTGCCTTTTCCCTTCATCACACAGTGTTCCACTGTGAAGTGTAGCATGACTCTCCAAAACTTATGTTTGAGTACAGCATAGACAAATACAGAGACAATTTCCTAGAAAAAGATTCATTACTTACTGAATTCAGTGTTCAAATATGTTTTGTTGATAGAGGCCATCTACCATTTCGAGTATTTCTATCTCATCTCTAATTATTTTTGTGACATGCATTTTTAATTTAATGACAATGAAAGGGAAGTGAAAATGGAGGTAGGAAAACTTGGCCATATTAACATTGTCCCCATCTCAAAAATATGTTTTGACAAGAGACAGGGTTTCACATATGATCTTACCTTCATTCTTTTTCAAAATATGAAGGAAGTTACCATTTGTTATTCATGTATACATTTCCCATGCAATTAATATTAAGTCATTAATGTTAAGACCACCACATTTTTCTCTCAACTAAAATACTACAGTCCGCACCCAGATTGCAGAAAACAGTGAAAGACAGTATTGATTTTGACAGTTATGTCCTCAATTTCTTTAGTAGTTGTAGGACGGTCTTCTGCTCCCTGCCAGGGGTATTGTTCAGCAGCCAGCAAATTAATACAATCAATTACAATCAACTATATTTAATACCACAAACTCTTTTGATGTCTTTCATAATATTTTTCAGAAATTACTTTCCCTACACTTTACTGAAATGCACTCAGAAGTCTCATCATCAGAAATCTGGGTTAATATTTCCCCCAAATCCCAGTTTAAATGACAAGTAAATCCTAGGATTTAACTGCAATTGGATGGGTGAGATTTTCTGTCACAAAGATCACACGAAAGTATGACAGGGACTCCTAACAGAAGGGAGACAGTGGGTGATGAATACAGCTCTGTTCTGCATGGGTAGAGTATACCACATTGCCTTTGGACTGTTCTTACTTACATCTTTTGGACTTACATTTTTTTTAAGCATATGAGAGCTGTAGCTACTCTTTTCCAACTGCCTTCTCCCTGCACTGTGAGGTTGTTCTATGCCTATCATTTAAGGCACTTCAAATACAAGGTTTTTAAATTAAATGCTGAGTGTTACTTAATGTTATAAAACCAATTCCAAAGAATAAATCTAATAAAATTTGAGCTAGCAATTTACACATGATAAGATCATCAACTTTTGATTTTGTCCTGCACACATGGAATATGAATGAGTCAGAGTTACTTCTGGAGGTCTACAAGGACTTTTTGTTCTTCAGTAACAGTATTACCCCTGGTCAATGTAATGTCACGCTGACAGCAGTAATTTCCTAGCAGATACAGTCTTCCATATTTATAGAAACTGATAAGAATTCTGCTGATTGCTTGTCACATTCTGTCTAGACTGTAGAGACAGAGAGAGGTCCACTCGAGAAATGAATGTTACATATTAGAACAATATTTCAAATGTTAATGTCTAGGAGAAAAAAATTATGCTAAAAGACACATAACAATTAGTTTTCTAAGGAGTTCAAAATTGGTGGCAACAAAGAATGTTTGTCAGGGAGGACAATTGATTCAAAGGTAAAGAGATGACAAACTCTGAAAGACTCACTGTGATCATCACCTCTGACTTTCCTTCGTAATCCAAACGAGAATCACCAAGTATTAATTGTATTTCAGAGAGCTTTCTTTCTTTCTTTCTTTTTATAGAGGGAGGGGAAAGAAAGAAGGAAAGAAGTAAGGAAAGAAGAGAAAGAAAGAGAAAGAAAGAAAGAAAGAAAAAGAAAGAGAGAAAGAAAGAGAGGAGAGAAAGAAAGAAAAAGAAAGAAAGAAAGAAAAGAAAGAAAGAAAGAAAGAAAGAAAGAAAGAAAGAAAGAAAGAGGAGAGAGAATACAAGTGTGATTTGGAAACTCCCAGAGACTGAGAACACATCACACCTTAGTGATAAATAACCCCTTGGTTACTGCAAACATTAAAACAACCTGCTTTTAAAAGATAAGCACTCCATGGAGCTGACAAGCTTGAATTTTAGCCTAGCTTCAGCTTTCTGGTTTTGGATTTGATTTTATCTTATTTTTGTGCATCTGAGTAGAAACTTTCTTACTGCCATAGTTTTGCTTCTCATATAAACTGTGCTATCATCTTAACCTGCTCTCTGTTAAAGAAAAAAAACGGCTTGTGCACCTTAGCCCTGCTCTGCTGGAATGATTTTCAATCTTTACTTATATGCACATCTCTTCTCTAAATCCTTAGTGATGCACAATTATTCTCTTTGTCCCTAGAGATGCCAGGTGTGCATGTAGACCTCCATGGAGGCTACCCTTTAGTCACGTAAAGAAACAGTTTAAACTGCTTTTTCCCTCTCAAAATTCTCCTGCCAGCACGTGCAAGGATACACAGTGACCAAGAGATTTGTTGATTATTCTCAAGCTCAATACATCCCCTTTTGTTAAAAGTCAAAAGCTTCTCTACTATAAGTAAACTCAGAAACATATTGGGGAATAAACTTTGTGGTTCTGTGCTTGCACTTAGAGCTTGAAGTTGATCAGTCTGAAAAAACATGTAATTCTTGACCTTGCAGTAGAGTCCACTTCAGCAACACAGACCTTTTGTTGATACATCATAGTGAAAACATTGTCATGTATAAATTTGAAACTACATTTATGGATTCAAGATTTAATCTGCCAGGGAGTTATCAGTAGAATCTCCAGCAATGTCAAAAGAATTAAATCTGCAGAATGTTTTTAGCTTGATTACTGAAGGAATACTCAAACATCCTGGAATATGGTTAGCAGAATCTGAATTATCAAATATCGTAAGTTGTATTCACATTGATCAAGAAGGATTCTTGTTAAAGTATTTTTACTGAAACTGTCTTAAAAAAACCCAACACTGAAGGAAAAACAAAACTCATTTTCTAATGCTGCAGCTACCCTCCATTCCAACTCGTTAAATTTATTTACCACAGCTGTCCTCGTCGCTATCATCCTCACAGTCAGCTTGACCATCACATCTTCTGGATGCCAGGACACATCTCCCAGAACGGCACTTGAAGTGACTGGGTGAGCATTCTGTCAATGACAAGAAACAGGGAGAAACAATTCTCCATGAGCTCAAGTTTAATCATGACATGGGCACTTATGTGGCTGTTTTGGAAGGGTAAATGAAATAAAAAGCTTGTGCGATACTGGAACTATGTAGCAGACAAGACACTTAATGATTGAGCTGTGAATGGGATGGAACAATGTGTTGCAGAGCTCTCCCTCACATGCTGCCCTCTGTCAGATTTCACTGCTTTGACAAATAACTGGCATACAACGTTTAGGTTGAGAGTATAGATTTTCTAGCCACTCTTCTCACTATTGTGGTGTTTTGAGATGCATTGAAATGAATATAAGAAATATATAAAGACATATTCTCAGGATAAAAAAAAAAATTGACAATTTCATGTTTATTCAAATTAATAAAACCACCTATAAATGTCCACTAATTTACCCTTGTTTGTGCCTCATCTTAGAGTACCATTCTGGGACAAGACAGCAGAAGAGAGCTGGAAGATCTTTAAGGAAGTCTTCCACTGAGTGCAAGAGCTAGCAATCCCCAGGAGCAAGAAATCCATCAAGGAAGGCGAGAGACTGGCATGCCTGAGTAAGGAACTGCTGGTCAAACTAAAGGAAAAGAAGCAAATGCACAGGCAGTGGAAACAAGGACAGGTAATTTAGAATGAATATAGAGATGAAGTTATGCTGTGTGGGGACGGGGAGAGGAAGGCCAAGGTGAAGCTGGAACTGAACCTGGCAAGGTATGCAAAGAATAACAGAAAGAGCTTCTACAGGTATGTTAACCAGAAAAGGTCAAAGAAGGCGTAACCTCCCACAGTAAACAATGCTGATAAACTGTTAACAATGGATGAAGAGAAGAATGAAGTACTCAACAACTTTTTTGCCTCAGTCTTCAATGGCAACCTCTCCTTGCACACCTTTCAAGTGGATGGACAGCAAGATGAAGATGGGGCAGAAAAATGCTTCCAAATCTACGTAAAGATCAGGTTCATGAATGTACCTAAGTCTATGGGACCCAACGAGATATATACCAGAGTTCTGAGGGAACTGGCTGATATAGTTGCCAAGCCACTTTTCATGACATTAGAAAAGTCTTAGCAGTCAGGTGAAGTTTGAGGTACCTATCTTTAAAATGGGTAGAAAGAGGACCCTGGGAACTACTAACCTGCCAGCCTCTCCTCTGTGCCTGGGAAGATCATGGAACAGATTCTCTTAGAAACCATGCTAAGGCACATGGAGGATGAGGTGATTCAAGACACCAGCACGGCTTCACCAAGAACAAGTCCTGCCTGACCAACCTAATAGCTTTCTACCATGGAGTCATTACATCAGTGGACAAGGGAAGGGTTGCAGATGTTATTTATCTGGACTTGTGTAAAGCCTTTGACACGGTCTCCTAAAACATCCTCCTCTCTAAATTCAAGAGAGATGGATTTGGTGGGTGGACTGTTAGGTAGTTAAGGAACTGGTTGAACAGTCACATCCAGAGGGCAGTGGGCAATGGCTCAGAGTCCCAATGGATATCAGTGACGAGTGGTATCCCTCAGGGGTCCTTACTAGTACCAGTGTTATTTAATATCCTCACTAATGACATGGATGAAAAGAGTAAGTGCACCCTCAGCAAGTTTTCAGATGACACAACACTGAGTGGTGCAGTTGACAGACCTCAAGGATGGGATGCCACCCAGAGGAACCCAGACAAGCTTGAGAAGTTGGTCCATGGGAATCTCATGAAGTTTAAGAAGACCAAGTACAAAGTGCTGCACCTGGGTCAGGGCAACCCCCAGTACCAACACAGGCTGGAGGATGAATGGATTGAGAGCAGCCCTGCCTAGAAGGACTTGGGGGTGCTGGTGGATGAGAGGATGGACGTGACCCAGCAATGTGCACTTGCAGCCCAGAAAGCCAATTGTATCCTGGGCTGCATCAAAAGCAGTGGGGGCAGCAGGTCCAGGGAGGTGATTCTTCTCCTCTACTCTGCTTTTGTGAGACCCCACCTGCAGTGCTGCATCCAGCTCTGGGTCCCCAGCACAGGAGGGACATTGAGCTGCTGGAGTAAGTCCAGAGGAGGGCCACCAGGTTGATCAGAGGGATGGACCACCTCTCCTGTGAGGAAAGCTGAGAGAATTCGGATTGTTCAGCCTGGAAAAGAGAAGGCCTTGGGGTGACCTAATTGCAGCCTTCAGTACCTGAAGGGAGCCTACAAGAAAGATGGAGAGGAATGTTTTACAAGGACATGTAGTGACAGGACAAGAGGGAATGACTTCAAACTGAGAGTAGCTTTAGATTAGATATTAGGAAGAAATTCACTACTGTGAGGGTGTTGAGGCACTGCAACATGTTGCCCAGAGAACCTGGAGATGTCTGATCCCTGTAAGTGTTCGAGACCAGGTTGGATGGGGCTCTGAGCAACCTGGTCTAGTGGAAGACATCTCTGCCCATGGCAGGGGGGGTTTTAACTAGATGATCCCTTCTGGCACTAGGTCCCCCCAACCCAAGCTATTCTGTATTTCTGTGATTCTATGAAAAAGCTTTATTTAGGCGGTTTTGATAAACCGACTCATTTTTCACATCATGCATGTAACTGACTTTGACGTACAACCTCCATCATATGTTGCCTTCTTTTTTTCCTTCCTGAAAAATCCCTCAGATGTTTAATACCATGTAGTTCCTTGGGTAAATTTTAACATTCAATAAACAGTTGTATCAGAAATGTCATCAGTTAAACTGGGAGCCTTAGAAAATTACATTCTGATGATTAAAGGTATGTGAACTTTACTGCCAACATTTAAGAATAGTTCGTTATGAAAATAATTGAGTTTATAATGCCTATTGTCTTGGCCAGTGGTATTCTTGGATTCAACACTGACTGGAAGAGAAGTTAAGGAATTCAGCACACTGTAATAACTCTGTTATTTACTGCTTAAGTTGGAAAATCACTTATACGTCATAATCACAAACATTTTAAATGTTCTCAGACGCTTAATTTCTTTTGTTACATGTGCTTTTCCACAAAATATTTACACTTCCCAGGAAAGACTTTCTAACCAACACTGGTAGTCAGTAGAATGCAGGCATAGAATAAGCATAAAATTCTCGTAGTAAGTGAACTCAAAAGAACTTTGATAAGACCTCTGAATTAATTAGACCTTTTCTAAAAGAATACTAACTCCTCCTCCTTTTTCTTTGATTTTCCAGGAATATCTGTTTTGGAGCTAAGATGGGCAACAACAGTGAATCAGCTTTTTAGAGACTGTCAAGGGTCTACCTCCTGCTTAGAAAAGCATTATTAGATCATCTAAGAAGATAAAAAATTGAAATATTATAACAAGCAAGCAGTTGGTGTGGTCCTGGCAGCAAATCTCAAAACACTGACTTTCACAGATCGAGGGTAATTGAACCTTCCTTCAAACAGAATTCTTATGAAAATTTCCTCTTATCTGCAAACTTCAGGTATTCAAATTCCATGAAACTCAGTTAGGAATCATTTCCACAGTTTAAATATTATAATTAAAAAGAAGGTATGAACTTGGGAACCTATTTAAAACTTTAATTTGCTGTTATATGTATAGGAGATACCTTCTACATCTTCATCCGGTGTTAGACAAGTTTGATTGTCTGAGTTCTCATCTGGAAACTGAGTGCAGTCTGTATCCTCTGGCCACTGCAGACCTACAATCCCAAGAACAGCCTCGCAGCGTTCCTTAGACTGTACACATAATGTCCTGAGGAGACAAAATGGAATTGCACAAAGTAACTGAGTTAATGTCTTAGAAATTCTGAGATACTGTAAGTTAATAATCCCTAGCAAGGGAATTTTAGGACATGCATTGCAATTTTCAGTGCACTTTTCTTTCAATGCAGTAAATGTTAATTGATAAATACTGTCAAGGTAGGCCAAATAAAAGAGGCAGAAATACAGTATGAGAAGGCTCTAGCAGCCAGTAGCTCAAAGAGCTCTGCCTGCTGCTCAGGTTTATTAGCTCTCCTAATCTGCAACAATTGCTGCTGCCAAAGCCAGAAGATTTACAGAACACAGTCTCTTTTGAACAAATACAGGCTCTAAAAAGTACTTGATGAGGATGGTAGAATAGTTAATCTGACAAGTAAAAAACATAAGTTAGTCAGTAATTCAGAATGATGTGGCACTCCTAATTTAGAAAGGCAAACATGCATTAAGATGTCAGTTGTCAATAGCAATTAGATAGAACTTTTCATAGAGTCATGTACTTATGTAAGGAACTATTACAAATGCTAGTGTTCCAAATCAATTCTATGTTTAAATATCCTTTATAGTGGTGCAATTCTAATCAAACACACAGAAATGGAAAATGCTTCATACAAAGCTCACAATATCCTTCTTGTCAAGTTGTCCAACACTAGAGTCAGCAGGTTCACAGTGCACTGACTAAAGAACTGGATGAAGGGCAGAGCTCAAAGAGCCCTAGTGCAAAGTGCTACATCTGGCTGGTGACTAGTCACCAGTACTGTTCCTTTGCATTAAATTTTGGGGACAGTCCTGCTCAATATAGCAGGTCTGGATGCAGCAGTTTAAAGCACCATCAGCAAGATGCTGATGATACCAAAACAGGAGGTGCTGTTGACTCTCTTGAGGGACAAGAGGCCTTGCAGAGAGATCTAGATAAATTGGAGCATTGGCCATCATCAAGGCCATGAAATTTAACAAGAACAAATGCCAGATTCTGCACCTAGGATGGAGTAATGCTGGACACAAACTGGAGAGCAGCCCTGCAGAAAGGGTGCTGGTCAGCAGCAGATTCAGTGTGAGACAGCAGCATGCCCAGGCAGCCAACAGCGCAAAACCATGTCCTGGGGCACATCAAACGCAAGTGTTACTAGCCAGGGAAAAGAGGTGATTATCCTGCTGTATTCGGCGTTGTCACAGCCTCACTTTACACACTGTGTGCAGCACTGGGCCTCACAATTTAAGAAGGATGTGAAGGTCCCTAAATACACCTCCAGAGGAGAGCAACAAAGCTGGAGAAAGGAATCTCCTATGGGGAGTGGCTGAGGATTTGGCCTTGTCTACTTTGCAGAAAAGCTCTCTACAGCTTCCTGAGGAAGGGACAATGAGATGGAGGTGCTGATCTCTTCTCCCTGGGATACAGTGATAGCACACATGGGAACGGTTCAAAACTGTGCTAAGAGAGGCTTAGACTGGACATTAGGAGGCATTTCTCTACTAAGTGTGGTCAAACCCTGGTATAGGCTTTCTAGAGAGGTGTTCAATGCCCCAAGCCTGTCAGCGTTTAAGAGGCATTCAGACAATGCCCTTAATAACACGCTGTAACTTCTGGTCAGTCCTGAAATGGTCAGGCAGTTGGACTAGATGGTCATTGTAGGTCTCTTCCAACTGAAATAGTCTAATCTATTCTATATATACATTTTGAAAATAAACTAACTGTCATTTCTTTCCTTTTTCTGAATACTTTTGATGCTAAACAAACACATGTAATGAACTGCATTTAATAATCATAAAATACAGTTCTCTGTCATTTGCTACAGAATTCCAACCCAAAATTTCTGGCGTTCTCAGTGGAAGCATAAAACTGCAAAAGGCTAATATGACAGACAAAGTCAAGAATTAAATGAAGTATAGTATAGTACCTGCAAGGTGGGATCCGCTGATTTGTGTGAGGGTCACATTTTGGTACTAAGATTGTGCAGGCAAAAAACATCAGGTACTTGTAGCAGTTGGTCTGAACCAAGGCTGGGAAAAGAGAAGACTCCCAGCTGATAGAGGCTTCCTTCTGCGTCCTGTGGCCCAGGTAGTTTGGGTAGTAAGTATAGTTGTAGGGCAAGTTCATACAAAGTTCCAGAGTAATTGGTTCACACTGACCTGTTGCAGAAAGAAAACAAACAAAACCACAAATGGTGTGAGATTCAATTAAATACAGCAGAAATAATTACATATGTATTTAACAAATTTATTAGTCAAGGAATTTCCTCCCAGGCATGAGAAACAAGTTCCAGAGCTCAAGACCCCACATGAGTTCTCATGCCAGTAAAGGTGGGTTTGACTTATGCCTACCTCACAAAACTATTAAGAGACTGATATTTCCTTATTAATATGCATTAATTTCCTGAGCAATGTCTTAACTTGAATGTGGTACAATAAACCATCCTTTAAAACAGATTTCTTCTTTTCAAATCAAAAAGATCAATAATCTTTTCTGATTATTTTCGAGAGTTCCTGTACTTTATAGCAACACACTTCCTACTGGTGTACTTACAATGCTACCATAACACACCTCATCTTGACAGTGCAATTAACAAAATTATGAAGACAGATATCATTGGACATTTGGGTTGGAAAGGATCTCATGAAGTTTCTAGTCCAATATCCTGCTCAAAGCTTGGTCAGCTCTGAGGACTAATAAGTTTTCTCAAGGCTTTATTCAGTCAGGTCTTGAAAAAATCTGCAGTGACAGAGACTGCACAATTTCTCTGGATAGAAAACAGAATATAGAATTTGTTTTTTAATTTTATTTTTTGCATACTAAGATCTGAAGGAAGAATGGGGACAATTAAGTTATGTATTGCACAAGCACTAAGCAAGAGACAGTCTACATGCTAATAATTTAATTCAGATAAGACATCATTAATAATAAAGAGAATGATAAGCAAGGGCAAAAGGAATGGAATAGCTACAGGTCTATATGATTATAGAGACTATAGCTATATACAAAAATTGTCCAGCTTATAGGGGTTTATCCCAACAAATACTGAACTGATCTAGTATTACGGATTTAAAAAATTGCACAGCTTTTGTATTTCTTCTCAAATTGGAAGTCAGAAATGTAATTTTTCAATTTTCCACCACAACAGAAAACTACAGAATTTCACTTCAATTCAGACTGAAATTCAGCTTCTGATTTAGCAATGAGACCAATCTGAAAATATTTAAATTTATTTAGTCTGGATATATGAGAAAATTTTCCATGAAAAATTGTACAATTCAAAAGTGATTTTTTATCTAAAGACTGCAAATATTTGACTATTCTGGAAGAAAATATAACTTAACATGATTAATATACTCTGCCAGCCAGTTGCTAGCATCAGTTGCCAGCACAGTGTGGCAACTGTGTCGTCCCACAGCAGGATCTTTGAGAGGAAGTTGAGAGAAGATCCAACAGTCAATTATTCAGCTGATCAGCAGAACTGTCCACTCTTTCTTGGTCTTGTATTTCCTTTTTTAACTTCTTTTACTGTTACTTCTAATCTGATGATCACAAAGCTCATTTTATGTACAGCTTTTCCTCTCTGCTAAATCCCTGCATACCCCCAATACTGAACTATTTCTGTTGTCTCAAATGCCCCAGTTGCATCTTTGGGGTATATGAGGCTCAGTGACTTCAATTCTCCTCACATTACTGCCACTTCCTTTTCTTCACAATGAAGCAAACCCAAGACATCACCAAATAGATCATGTCTGTATTTAATACCTTTCTGTGTTTATTATTAACTCTCAATATTCCTATCAAATAGGAATTAGTTCCAAACATAGTTACAGAAGTGAATGGGATGTTTCAGAGAATTACAGATTGGCTGAGGTTGGAAGGGGCCTCTACAGGCCAACCCCCCTTGCTCAAGCACAGCCAAATAGAACAGGTTGTGCAGAATTATGTCCAGGCAGCTTTTGCCTGTCTTCAAGAATGGACTCTCTACAACCACTCTGGGCAACCTGTGTTCAGTCAGACTCACAGTAAAAAATAGTGTTTATGGTCAGAGCTTCATTATGTTTTATTTTGTGCCAATAGCCTCTGATCTTGTTACTGAGTCCCGAAGTAGCCTGGCTCTGTCTTCTTTACACTCTCCCTTCAAATATTTGTTCCGTTATTCTAAATATGTTGTAAATGCATTATAATGCCAGCCTAAACTGATCAGATATTATCATACACGGAGAACATCCATCGTATTCAACACTGTGAAATGCGGCCATGCTTTGGAATTTTCCAATCAAATATTTATTTGGGCCACCAAGTACTGGTTTGTCAAAACTGAAATTTTCCATGAGAACTCTCACTTCTTACCAAAGATGAAATAACTCAAAATGCGAAGAAAAAAATAATATGAAAAAAGACAATAGTTCTTCTAGATGTTATGCAAGAAAAATCTCTCCCAAATTGTCTTGCTGTTCCATTGTGTATAAACAATTAAATATTCACTAGACCAGCAAGGGAGAAAGACAGATGATTCAAAAGACTAATTATTTGTTACTCCCATTAAGAATTACAGAGAGTTGCCCATAATGTCTTGAGGAAACATCTACACTAAAAAGCTTTTGGCTTTCCCATGATATGGAGTAGGAACATTGTTTTGGAATTCAAATATCACATATCAAAAATCATAGAATCATCGAGTGGTTTGGGCTGGAAGGGACCTTGAAGATCATCTTTAAGGGGAGATCATCTTTAAGGGGAGATCTTATTGCTCTTAACAGCTACCTAATGGGAAGGTGTCAAGCAGACAGAACCAGACTCTTAGAAGTGTGAAGGGATAGGATGAGAGGCAAGACATGAGTTGTGACACAGAGAATTTCAGTTACTTATATGGAAAATAGACTTTTATGACGAGAGTGGCATAACACTGAAACAGATCTCTCAGAATGACTCTGTAATCTCTGATCTTAAGGATGCTCAAAGATCAGCAGCAAAAGTCATGGGCCACATGATTCAATTGGCACTGATTTGATGAGGAGTTTGAGCTAGCTGACCAAAGGTGTAACCTAAATTCCTTCTAATGCTAAACATGGTACTTAAGATTGTTCCCTTACAGAAACCTAGGCAAAGCATTGAAAGAAGTACATGTAAAGCATTTATTCTTTATAAAGTATCTTATATCTTTACTTCAGCAGCATCTAAAGACACCAGCATGAATGGTGCCTGTCTCAAACAAACACTTGTAGGTGATAGTCACAGCTCTACAGAGACTATGGAGTTTGGACTAGTTGACCTTCCCACATCCATTCCATCCTAAATGGAATAACATTATCCACACAAGCTACCATATAGTACCAGACCATACCTTGCAGAGATAATCTCAGCACAAAGCAATCACAGCTATACATTCGTATATAAGTGAAGCCAAGCCTGCCCATGTGCCAAGGTGACCTGAACTGATGTGACTGTGTTAACACAACACTGTTTTAATTAATTCTGAATAATTTTGAATATAGTTCTGCCCCAGTTTCAAACCTAGACAAATAAACTTCCTTTACTTGTTCACATTGTTCACATTCTTGCACAAGTGGAAAGACAGCTATTCAGAAGCAAGTGCACAGTTAGTACAGGAGCCTTGTGTGGAGTGGTATAGTAGAGGACATAGATATAAGGATACATAGAGTTGAAGACCCTGATACTCTACAACAGGTATTGATCAGAGGAACAATTTGTTTTGTCAGTTTGAATATCAAAATGACTCCTTCACAAAGGGGCTAAAATTCTCCAGGCTACTAAATACAGCAACATGTGGCTTTTTTATATTTTGAAAATAAACCGGTAGGTTCTGCTTTACACTTACACTATGTTGTTTACCTTATGTAAGCACTGAATGTCCTTAAATGCGAAGAAAAAATGCAAATGCAAACATTCATTAAAAACGTATAAAAATTCATAGAAGGAAAAAACCTCCATGTCAAATATATGTACTTATGATGATGCTTTTGTTTCAACATTGCCCCTTTCAAACCTTAATCACTGCACACACACATTAGCTAGTAAATTAAAGTATTACTCACTGTGTCCTACCCCGCATCCTCATTACAATCTAAAACATCCTAAAACAGTGACATTATGAAGCACATGACCTACTTACTGCAGTTCGCCTGGTTGTTTCTCATCTCACAGAAAGAAGCTCCACAGGGATCAGGACAGGAAGAACACCTCTGGTCTCCCTCCTGACAGAGGGTTTGATCTGAGGGAAACAGAAATTTTTTTGTTCAAATTATTTACCAGACCAATAAAAATGACTGAAGTGTAGTGGTGAGAAAATACACTGTTTATGTAACAAGCAAGTATTTCCTTTACATAGTTGAATAAGTATTTCAAGTGTAGTAAGGATGTGTTGTAAGGAAGAAAGTTGTGCACTACTGTCCAGATTTCACCTTTCTTTACTCCTATGTTCAATGTAAGAATTTATATCCCAGTTTCTGAATATGAGATATAGGTCTCTGAAAGCCATTTACCATGACCCTCTAGCAGAGTATGAAAAGTCAGGTAAATCATGTTTTTAAAAGAACAATAAGTCCTAGCTGAAAGAGAATACTCTCTGAGAATTATTCTTCAATGCCATTCAGTTGATCTGCTTCTCATTTTCTAATTTTGTTTTGCTTGACAGTACAAGACATCCTGAAGAAAGATCATCAGAGCTGAAGCTTTATTGTCCTTCTTTGGTTAAAAAACAAACAACAAAAAGAAACCCAAAAAAGCCTATGGTCCTAAAGGTGATATCCAGAATAACTAAATCCAGCATTTTATCAAAAGTTTCTGAGCATGCTACCTGGGTAGTTAGTTTATGTGACAAATCCTTGGACTTTTTCTTATAGTGAGGCTAGCTCCTCTTCAAACCATTAAATCCTGTCTTTCATGTTCAAAATCAGTCATTTAATCTACTATTCTGTACAGAAAGACTGAATATATGGTATTTTACCATCTCATCCTGTTTAAAATGGTCTATTGCCACTATTGCTCAGAGTTTATATTGCACTACTGCCCATGAACATTAATCATTCAGTTATGACATCCTGACACTGGGCATACAGAAGATGCTTAAGAAATACCTTATTTCAATACCTTGATAACAACCTTTTCAAAGAACTGATGATGTAACCATATCTACTCATAATTATGTGGATTTAGTTCCCTTCATCCACGTAATATATTGAAGCAATGAAGGCAATTTGTTTGCCATAGCAATTGACTGTCTTATTTTACAGGTGCATCTAATTGCAAAATGGAACTTGAAAGGCAGGCAAAGCCACCTGACTTCTAAAGCTATCCCAAATATTTCCATTAAAATTATTTTTTAAAGTTTGCTCCAACTTCTTCTTAGCCCACAATGGAAGAGTTTCTCAATTCTTTAAAAATTCATGTGCCACAATGTAGATTTTTTTGATCCTAGCACAGACAATGCTGAATTTCTGTAAACAAACTCTGCTCTGTCTTTTGAATGGATCACAGAACCAGCTGTGAATACATCTGTTTTGGGTTTCTATTGTCACAAAATGAATGAGAGCAGTACTCTTCACAAATGCTATACCTTAGATTTCCTTAGGGTATGTAGTGAAGGAGAACACTTTTCTTATTCAGATATAGACAAAGCAATGGCCATTTGTAATCTCTATGTGTATACACTTGCACTAGGACACAAGGTCCCTGTATCCTTATATAAGCAAGTGGCAAGTCCCTACACCTTGACCTCAGATTTCTATGCAGATTTCACATATTTACTGTGTTTGTAACAAAACCAATACTCCAGATCACTTTAGCCCTTACTTCACTGACTCTGCTAGGCATACCTAAACTTTTTTATTTGATTTGTAGAGCAGAGAAGTAGTAAGTGTATTTGTAGTAACTGTATGTCCTATTATATTTTCTGTAGTTGCTGAAAACAACAAAATACGTAAGAAATACAATAGTAAGCAAGTTAGGCACAAGAATTCTGTCTTCCTTTTACACAGACTTTGCAAGGAACTAAAGGTGATAAAGTCCAAAGTCTGACAAGATATTCCCATGCAAATTAGGATGGATGGAATATGGTCGCATAAAGAATTTTGCACTACACAATACTGCAAAATATTGAATCTTTTAATCTATACCTGTTCATCTTAGCAAAACAAGATTTTTAAACATTCTTCAACATTAACAGGGGAAAAAAAGCAATGAAAACAAAAGACACCACTGACTTCTAGCCCAGATTATGCAAGAGAAATGGAGGATCAAAGAATTCATAGTGTAAGCCTCAGACTGCACATCGAGAAAGATGAAGAATAAAAACTGAACATTTTGTGAAAGTGCACAGTCAGAACTGAGGACAAAACTTGGTCCTGAGTTTTTAGATTGCCACAGTCAGAACTGAAAGAAATTTCATGCAAGACTTTTTTACAATGTCAACATTAATAGCAAAGAAAAATAGCTACATTATTTTCTGTGTTTCAACTTCTCAGGTATTTTTTGGAATGGAGATGTTTAAAGTGGAGTAGGAAGATCTCAAGAACTTTATATGAACAAAGGAGACTGAGCAGAAATGCTTAGTCAAGATTTCTTCTAAACTGGTTTCCTAAAGAAATGAGGCTTATATAATCACATTGTATATTTATCTTATGAAAATAGGCCTGTTCTGCTCTAATAAGTTTTAAGTAGTTTGCCCTATTAACACTATATTTGACAGCACTAGCTTTCTAAATAAAGTTAAATATTTTAATTTCTTTCAAATAAGATTCATAAGAGAAAAACTTTAATAATTCTTGCACTGAAGGAAAGGCTGCAATCTGAACCTATACCTCACCAAAAGTAAGATCATTACATTTGAAAAATAACTTCAAATGCTGAAATACATCATAACATGACAATATTTATTTCTGAGTGTCTTTTGGAAACCATGTTCTGGGGCTCAAGAAATTGTGTGGTTTCTTCTTCTCTCATACAGTCCATCATAAGACAGTTATCAAGTAGCTGCAAAAACTTACATTCTCATATATTTTCCCTTAGTAACACTAAATCATTAGTTTACTTATGGAAACATCCTTTCTCTGATTCCCAAGTTATGACAAAAAAAGGATTTTCATGAGAAAATTCCTCCTCAAATGACACCAATTCCTGTGACAATAGATTCTGACTGCTCCAGACAATGTGAATATGCATTATTTCAAGTAACAACTGATCATGTTAGATAACTAAATACTATGCTAAATATCACCTCCATTTCTTTAACTTTTTATATTTTTAAGTACTAATAAAAGTCTGCTTACAAATTCCTTTGTGAAAGCAGACACCAATCAGCCTTAGCACATGTTATTTGAAAGGCAAAGAAATTTGTCAGACAGCTTTAGCTAAAGACGCTTCAGAGCACAGAAGTCAATGGTAGGTTTGGTAAGAAAAGTAAAATGAGGCATATCCTTACTTTCATTGCAGTTTTCTTCATCACTTCCATCTTTACAATCATTATCTCCATCACACTGGAATGCACTAGGAATGCACTGCCCATTTCTGCACTCCACGAGACCCTGGCTGTCACATGCTACAGATAAAAAAAATAAAAAAAGACAATATTCTTATCAACTTCGGTTAATGAAGGTCTGCATTATTTTTGAACATCATCCTAAAGTTGTTTTAGGAGGAGCTGATAACACTGCTCAGCACTGAACATCAGGAGATATTTTTCATTATGTTTTCAATACCCGATAGCTGTGCTGATATTTAACTACAGAGACTGAAACTATATGTCAGGTATTAGCAACAGACTTATATGAAGGCTTAGCTTTTCAAAAAAAAAAGAAAACATAATTTTTACTCATCTAATGGGAACAATAAAATTAACAAAAAGCTAAATCTGTAATTAACAAGAAGCTGAAACACAAAGAAGTGTATTTCTCAACAATGGCAACAAATGTTTAATTTGCTGCAGCTATCTACCAGAATGGACATTTGTCAAGTGTGAACTTCTGAAATCAAATAAGCTTATAGTTTTGCCTCACAAGTAATTGCACTACTTATCCTAATTTTTTAAATTTAATTTTAATTTAAATATTTTTTTTAATTTTTAAAGAAAGAAAAAATAATTTAGAGATTAAGGGAACTTACAGCAATTTATCTCATCTGATTTGTCTATACAGTCATGGTCACCATCACATACCCAATCAGCTGTTATACATCTTCCATCTCCACACTGATGATGTGTTACCGGATTACAATCTACATAAAATGCAAATTTGAAGGAAAAAAGGATGCAAAGTTACCATTTGTGTATTTTATATTACTGATCAATTGCTCTATGTCTATTAGTTAATCATTCCTATTAAGGAGCCATTTTGCATTAGTAAATTACATCTTCCATACCTGCAGATTTTTTTGCAGATGGTAGTTATATATGTTCTGAATTCTACTGCCTACATAGATAGCGATGCACTCCTTCCATCTCTCAGGTGCACAGCTGTTACCGTTTGCAAATAAGGTTTTAAAATTTGTTAAGCACGTTAAAGGATCTTCTGGTTTATCATCTAATGGAATGATTTTCAGTTAGCCAACATTTTCAGCTGACATCAGAGAAAATAATTCTGTACATTTACCTTTTTACTAAGACATTAAAAAAAAATAAATTCTTGACTTCAGAAACTATGTCTTTTGCAGCCACTTGGAATTTTCCATAAGAATTATTTACGAAGAAATTACTCCAATCTTTATCTTAGTCTTTCTATCTGAATGCACAAATAAAGAAGAGCATTCTGTTGAGCAGGCTAACTTCACACCAAAATAAATACAGAGCGTAGACACAGTCCAGTCTTCCAAATCTGCTATGAAAACCACTTATAGATTGTACAAAGACTTAGATCTTAAATTTTATATAGAAAAAACTATATCAAGATAGGAATTATAAAAGTCAGATTAATGTTTAGAAAATATAAATCATCTTTAAACAAAGATAAGTTATAAAAAAAACCCCACCAAACAACCAAAATTGACAAAAGAGTAGTGAAAGATCTTAGAGTGTGCTTAATTTGGAGCAGAAGTATAAAACAATTCTCAGGGGGAAAAAAGGTCATTGATTTTTAGTTTTTAAATTCTTTGTATTTTCTTTAGAAAAGCAAAAGGAAAAAGTAAGAAATAATATTTTAACTATTAAATAATTAATTTAGAAAACTTAATTTTATCTCGGGTGTAGGACCAGGAACAAAAGTTAGTAAAAATAAGGCTTTCAAATTTTTGCAGTATTTACATGTGAAGATTATTCTTTTTTATGGCAAAACTTCATTGTTTCTCCTATGACAGTTAGGTTTAGGTAGATAGATAAATATAATGAGTCAGAACATGCAAAGATGATTGAAAACAGAACTTGGAAGAAACAGAATTTAAGAATTTTAAGTTCACTATGAAGCTTATGTAAAAACAGTTGGCATCACTGGAGTGTAGCCTCCTATGGTTTCCTTTAATCTCAGTTAAATTCAGTCAAGCTAGCAAGGAAACAAACATAACATATTTTGGCATTAGTTTAAAACAAACTGAAAATCATAATATTTCTTATAAATACCACTACCTTCAAGATTTGGATTGACCTAGAGCTTTCCTCTAAACCTTTTCAAATTGTATATAGAATTTGTGAGCTGTTTTCACTTTGTCCAAATAGAATAACAGCAGGATTTATTACTCCTGTAGTAGTTTAAGAGAAAAGATGACTGGCTTAGGCAATCATGATATCTTAAAAGACTTTAGAAAAACATAAAACTTTCATTTACCACAGTTTTGTTCATCGCTAAGGTCTCCGCAGTCATCATATCCATCACAAACAAAAGTATAATTTAGGCATTTTCCCGTGTTGCAACGAAATACATCAGTACTACAGTCTACAAAACAAATTTTTGTAAAATGTTAAAATTACATTGGAACATTCATATAAACTATGAACACTAGAATGTACTGACTAAAATAAGATTAGCTAAAGATACACTACAAAGGTCTGCATTAACACTGGTGTGTATCAGTTTATGAGAATCTAATATGGAAGAACATGGAAAATCAAAGAAATTTTCAGATATTTCTTCTCTGTTCCTATCAATTGTCTTTTTGTTTAACCAAGTGCTCTAGTTACACATATGGACCAAACTGTTTGATTAAATTATACACGTAAAGTTCTCAAGAAAGGTTGGGGGCTTCGTCATCTAGATTACTAGGACAGTCTTGAGCACCCAACGTGGCTGTTAAATGGAACTGAGGATTCTAACAGCAAAATCAATATTCCTAGACCCTGCTTTTGAGCCTGCCTTCGGTCTTACAATGGTTTCAAATGAGCTTCACGCTTTACACAGTTTTCAGCTCAGTTTTGGCTTGGTGCCTTCTCATCAAGGAATTCTTATCACTGTCAGCCCTAAATCAGTTTAGGCTTTGTTTTCACGACTGAAGGCTTCAGTAAAGGCCTGACAGATATTCTCTGAGAATATCGAAAATACTTGAATACTCTCAGGTTCAATATAAACATGGACTCTATGTTGTAGTTGAGAACGCGGGTAGAAGAGAAATCAGGGTTTGTGGTGTCTAGTCCCATTAGAAACAACTTTTAATTTCAAAGCACACAGTTGGGAAGTGAGTGACCTAGTTTCACTGCCTTCCTCTAGGCTTCTCCTTGACATGTAGCTTTCCAGGGAGAAAGCCAGGATATAAAACAGCTGAGAATCCTTCCTTCCTACTGAAGCTATGCCACTGGAACCAGGGAAGTCCTTTGTGCTTCTCTCGGCATGTGACTCCTGTGTTTATGATTGCACAATGGTCCCACTTTGAAAACAGGGTGTCCTTCTAAGTGTATTACACATTGATAGGTGCAAAACTCTCCCAGAAGGTGCAGTGAGGTTTCTATCCCTTAAGATCAATGTCAGCCAAGTGTTTCACCTAGGTGAATGCCCTAAGTTTATCAAGCAACCTCAGCTCTGGAACTTGAATATGAATCACTTCTTTCCCTCACCTCACAAAAATATTCATATTTTCTAAAAGTTTCATGTCATCTTAGAAAGTAAAAACAGAATTTATAGCATAGTGTGCTTAAAATCAGACAAATCATGCATTGCTCTATTTCTCAGCTCATCCTCCATATAGCAGGTTAAGACACTTATCTCAGATAAAGTCACCTGCACAGGGAGAGACTATTCCATCCCCAACGTATGTAACTTTATAACTAAAAAACAGAGATGTCTCTCCAAGCTGGTAGCATCTAAATTTTAGCATAAATCCTTCTAATATAAGAATTTTGCAATTGCAGATGTATCCTCCCTTTGTCAGACACAAGGCAGTAGCTCAAAGGAAAAGAGGGACTGGAAGCAAGTCCACACTTGTGGTAGCATGTGAACCCCCTTCTTGCCCACCTCACCTTCCCAGGTGCTTCTCTCTGTACAATGGGTATGAAGCTCTGGATGTGGAAGGCCAGTCAATGTTCACTAATTAGTGAACTAGTTCACTAATTAGTGAACTAGTGGGTTTCATTGACAGATGAGTTAGATCTTTAAGCTAGACTTGAGAGGGGAGGAGGATAGTATCAGGCTTGACTGTGACAAGCTGTGGGATGACACACCAAGGTTAGACACAAGAGCTGAGTGATACAGTTGACACTCCTGAAGGACGCCATCCAGAGTGACCTGCTGCACATGGGTCTGGGCAACCCCCAGTATCAATACAGGTTGAGGAATGTGGATTGAAAGCAGCCCTGCCAAGAAAAACTTGGGGGTTCTGGTGGATGAAAAGCTGGACATGAACCAGCAATGTGTGCCTGCAGCCCAGAAAGCCAAATACGTCCTGGGTTGGATCAGAGTGGCCTGTAGGTCAAGAGAGGTGATTCTGCTCCTCTACGCTGCTCTGGTGAGACCCCACCTGGAGTGCTGCACCCAGCTCTGGTGTCCTCAACACAGGACAGACATGGACCTAGGCCACAAAAATGATCATAGGGATGGTCCACCTCTCCTTTGAGGAAAGGTTGAGAGGGTAGGGGCTGTTTATCCTGGAGAAGGAGTGGCCTTTCAATACTTAAAGTGGGCATATAAGAAAGATGGGGACAGACTTTTTAACAGGGTCTGTTGCGATAGGACAAGGGATAATGGTTTTAAACTAAAAGAGGGTAGATTTAGACTAGACATAAGGAATAAATTTTTAACAATGAGGATGGTGAAACACAGGGACAGCTTGTCCAGAGAAGTGGTAGATGCCGCATTCCTAGAAACCCTCAAGATCAGGTTGGATGGGACTCTGAGCAACCTATTCTATAACTTAATGAGGTGACTTAAGACTTTGAGAGGGGCAAGAATGGCAAGAAACATTAGCATCTTTTATCAGACAAGCTTTCAGGAAAATAAGTCCTCCTTTAGTTTTGCTATTTCTGCTAAGTAAGTCAAGAAAGTCTTATGTGACCCCTCTCCTCAACTCTTACTAAGTATCCTAATAGAAGACATCCTCCACACATAAACCCTGTATCATTAAACAGACAGGCATTCTTTTAAAGGTAATCTTAGAGCTTGCAATCTTAGTTCATGAAATTTATGCTTGTTTTTTCAAGACATGTAATATATTTATTCTTTTGTTACTAATTTCTTATTTTCCCATTTCTAATGGAATTTGAGAGCCATAGTCCCATAGGCATTTTTAAAGTTTTTAGCTTACATTAAATCTGAAGCTAATGCTGACAGGAAAAATATAAACATGCAATACTTTTTACACAACAGACATTATCTCAATCTCCATTAAATAAATGGAGGCTATTAAAGGAAAAGCAAGCTCTAGCCTCATTCATATTAAGACCAGGAGGAAATTAATGCCATTTATTCCTTGGAGTATCCCAGATAAAATCTAGCAACAACTTCCTTAGAAGCAGCTTTGTGAGTCTTGGAATGCTCAGGCTCTTAAATCACTAATAAGAACAAATCTTTTGAGGTGAGTGTAAACTGCATGGTTTCCAAAGTCTGAATGAGCAACACTGTTTTGTGGCATCATGCCCTACTATAGTCGCTATTTAATAATTTTCCCACATTTTCCTTTTTTCTTTCTTTTTTTTTCCCTTCTCATAATTTTCCTACCATACAGTTGCTCAGCTTTTCTAAAAGTGTTTGTAGTCCAAGGACATTTTTGTTCACAAAGAAAAACACATAGGAACTCTAAAGATGTGCACTACCACAGACAGATAAATAAGAAATTAAGTTATCACATATGTATATTCATTTTTCTTTTCTACTACACCACATAGTGGGATTAATTTAAGTAAATCTCATCCAGGGTTGATATGAGAACTTTCTAAACAGATGGTCTTGCATCTACTCTGAAATCAATGCCAAGGACAAGGAAAAACCTACAGCTAACAGTCTTCAGCTGATTATCGGAAGCACTCCCTTATTGATCCATTTTTAAAAAAGCCCTGAAACACTTCTAACTTCCACATGGCTCTTTGCAGAATATCTGCCTCAAGGCACAAAATCTGACAGATCAAAACCACATGCTGTAGCCTGAGTGAGCAAAGGTGAACAGAATCAACGGCAACTGACAAGAGTCCAAATGTCAGTATATGCAAATACCGTGCAAAGCTCCTATTCTGTACCAAAAGCCTTCTTTAGTGTTCAGGTTTCCCTGAAGGGATTCAGTGCTTCAAAAGAACACTGCAAGGTTTAAGAAACTTACTGCAGTGGACCTCATCACTCCAATCATCACAGTCGTTGTAGCCGTTACACTGCAGTTTCCCTGGGATGCAGATCCCACTGGCACACAAGAAACTCTCCTCTCCTCCACACAGTGCTGCAAAAGAGAAGAAAAGACAGAATGAGGAGAAAAATCATTAGCATCAACACTACAAACTTAATGCTACTTTAAACTGATATTCAAGATTAAACTGATAAACTGATTCAAGATTTCCCACAGGGAGGAAACAGCACTGAGTGCAAGAAGGTCAAGAGAAAAACCTGAAAGAAAAATCTCAATTTTTGAGATAGAACAAAGCCATTTAAAACTGCTATCAGTGAACGACCCATTTTAAAAGACCTCAACAGGCAGTCATGAAAAGACTATTACACATGTTAAATCTGCCCTTGGGACTAAACAAGGAGCCTTTAACATGCCTACAAAAAAAAAAATAAATTTCTGCTTAAGACTGGCTTTACTGTTTAGCAGTGTGATATTCTTCACAATTTGCCAAACCACTAGGTAAACTGTGGATGCTGTGAGGTATCACTTAGCACTGGACCTGCCTAAATATGCCTTTTTCAAAAATGACACATAGCTTCAGCTTGCACTGACGCTATTGCTACTTGCAACTATTTATCTAGATTTTTAATTTTATTTGTGGTCCTAAAACAGCAGTCCTTTCTATCACACTATGGCAACAGATATTCACACGCACACTCTCAGTACCTTCATTATTACTTTTAACTTTTGTCAGCAGGGGATTATTTTTTTCCAACATATTTACATTCTTTTTTAAGCCTGAAATGTTATTTTATCATCCCCAAGCAACAGGGCAATCTTAAGACTTAGTCAACTGAAACACACACCCTTTATGAAAAATTTGTTTGTAATAAAAACTTAGGAATAATTTCAAAATCTTTTCTATTACATTCCCAGGTGTACTCTCAACTTGGACAGCACATAGTTTTGATTTTGCAATACAAACATCATTTTCTAGTTGTGTAATGAGGCCATGTTTATTGCAGTGAAAGCTGCTTATGCAATGATTTTAAAGAAGGCTTCTAACTTCACAGAAAAGTGCCCAAAATAGTTTTTCTAAACTAAAAGTTTTCAACTAGTTTGTGCCATTTAATCTTTGTGACTCTTAATCAGAAGCAAGATAGGGCAAAAACACCAGCACCATCCTTTTGCACACTGTTATTGTTTACCTCATATTGTCCTCCTCAGTAGGTTCCCTCACAACACACTGTGTGGTTGGACAGGTTTCCTAACTTCTAACTAAAGAGCTACAGCCTTACCTGTGTTCTACCAGTTTTGGAAGGGTATTACAAACTGCAAAATATCATAGTCTTAAAACCACCATGAGATTTGATAGCGCTTACAGTCTCTTTTTTACAGGGGACAAAAATGAGGCAGTGAGATATTAAAGTGAAAGTTAGAACGAATAATAATTTGACCAATGTTAGCACGTGTGTGTTTTTTTTCCTGGAGAGTAAAGACAGATATTATTTTACATGTTCAAAGAATTCTTGCCTTTATTTGTAGCTGCAAGAGCATGTTTCAGCTGCAAATAAACTCCAGCTATACAAATGAAGAGTCCACTTCTGTTCCAGTGCCTTGCTGAACATGGTGACTGCAATGGTGACAGGGAAGAATCTCATTCCATATGATAAAATCACACTTTCTTTATTATGAGCCAATCTTTGTGTTTCTCCAGTTTCCTCTCTTATGCACTGCACTTCCTAACTGCTACAGTCAGTAAGCTCTACAGGGGCCCCTAGAAACAACAGACTTCCTCAGTATGGGCTCTAGTTCCCGGGAGACCAGTGTTTATCCCTCAGACAATTATGTCAGGTAAAAATAGAATATGATAACACAATCCAAAGACTGTAATTTATCATACAAGAAAGAGTCTTCGAGGTTGGAAAGGCAAATTTAACTGACTCAGTAATCTTACATTCTCATAACTTGGGCTCTTACACAGTTTCCTGCATGTTCGAAAAGAAAAACAGCAGAAATAGCTCAAAAGGAACCATCTTGATTTGCTTACAGATCCCCATCAGTACAGAGTTTTACTGGTACTAAACAACAGTAAGGGACTTCTACCTTTTGTGTGACTATGCCCATTTGGCCTGGGAGAACAAAGGTAAACAGGAAGGATATTTATGTGATTATTTTTCTTACAGATCAGAAGAGCAAAGATTCTGGGGGTCCCATACTCATTTCTGGGCTGTGAATGAAACTGTGTTCTAGCATTTATAAGTCATTCTGACTCTGCCTCCTTAATGCATCCCCATCTTGTTCTGCTCCTACCCTGAACCACTTCTCCTACAGTCATACCTACAGTCAGTATTTTCCTATTTGTTTTGTATGTTACACACAAAAAAGAGGAAGACTGAAATTACTATTGCTTCTCTCAGTTTTAGCATATGGAAGTAATCAGAAGAAATTTTTAGAAACACTAATCTCACCTCTTGCAGTCTTCTACAAGGTGATGACTGGATATGTTTGGTCCAGTAAGTGCAGTGTTCATGGCAAGGAGAGCACATACACTTTGAACAGTATGTCCAATGAATTTAATTTCTGCTTTCTATCAAGCTTGTCCAAAAAGTTTTTAGTAGGTTGACAATTCGATCAGAATTTATTGGAAATTATGAAAGCCTTGTCAAATGCTGTAAAACAAACATTTTTGTTGAATGTTGAATCTTGATATTTGATCTGAAACCTAGAGGATTTAGTTATGCAACCATGTGTAAGACTTTCTTGAACACACGCAAATGGCTGCATACTCAGAAATGCTGGGACTGCTTGAAACAAGGCAGCAGCAACAACAAAAGAAATAATGCCTGAAATAGTTGTCTGAAGTAAGAGAAGTATGAACCATTCCACTCAAAATTATTAAAAATTGCAAGCGTGTTATTCTAAAGAAATGTGCTGGGAAATGTTAATTAGTGATACCTCTATAAATAATTCACACATTTATTAATAAAATCATGCAAATATATGTGTACCTGAATTACTGAAGAAGAAAAAATATTAGGTAAAAAAGCCCAAACAAAATGGAAGTAATCCTTGCTGACAGAGAAATTTACCTGTTGTAGACCTTACCCAGAAAGATTTACAAACTGGAATAGCTTCCAAAATCCCTGACTAAACACCATGGGCAGCAAAGAGTGCTTTATTGTACCTGTGTCTGGTGTACTATCAAAAGTGGCTTTGAGGAGGCAAGACCATTTATGTGCTGTACTTCCCAGCTAGATTACTGGAATGTCATCTATAGAAGATTATGTGGGCAGGTCCCTGGAAAGCTGCAGACAGCACTGGACTGAAATAAACATCATTTTGCCATCCTCAAAATCTGCATTTCGAGGTATAACAACAGATAAAGCATTCTTTATGCTGTGAAAATGACCATGGAAAGTGATGCTAATTTTTTTCAAAGTGGAGACAACATTCACTACCTAATGCTATAAAAGAACTTAGGAGGTATTAAAACAATCAAAAGGCAATGCTCTTAATACAATGCTTTGATAAGTTGTAACACTTTGGAACACAATACTGTGCATGTTAAAATGTGCATAGGTCCATAAAACAAAGGGACATATTAATGGAATAAACATCTATGGTGGGTCAGAAGTTAAAAGTCTTTGGATCTCAAACAGATGCAAAATGCAGGAGCATTTGGAAAAGTATTGTCACATTGTCTTGCCCTGTTCTCCTATTCTTCTCTGTGCATTTGATTTTTTCAGCTTTTGGAGTCAGCATTACAAGATAGATGGACTCTTCATCTGCATCTGACCCAATATACAATAACACAATGGGACACAGAGGAATCCCTGTATTCTCTTGCCTGCAAATTTTCATCTTCTGCTCCCTATACCACATGTACCCTGCAGTACAGTGCATGCATCTTGTTCCTGTCAACTCCAGAAAGTTTTGAGAATAGGATCGTTATCATGGAATTAGAAAAGCTGGCAACTACTTACTCCCAGGAAATGGTTCATTTCTCTATTTCCTTATGATGCAAAACCCTGTGGGAGAAAGAAGACAAAAGACCCTTCTCTTTCACTCAAAGGATGTGGCCTAAAAAGGCCACATAGGAAACTGCAAGCAAAGAAACAGGCAAAGAACAGAAATATAGGCAGAGATAAATGGTGGGGGAGGCAGAATGGGAGAATAAAAATCAAAGAACATAAGAAAATGTAACGCAGGATCAAAAGAAGTAAAGAATTAATGCTTGCAGGAAATAGTTTTTTAAACTGTGAATGCTTTCTCACATGAAAGACCATCACAATCCTGAAAAACCTTTTATCTCCCTCAAAAATTATTCCACTATTCCTGTTTTTGCAGCTGGTCAGCATCAATGTTACACATATACAGATCATCTCTTCTTTTCACTGCATTAAGGAAATATAAGGGCACAAAAAAGATGATGTCTTCCTGTTTTTAAAAGATTTTTCTCAAAAAAAGCTCAATTGGATGTATTTAGCTTCATATTCCCTACAGAAAAATAAATACCTGGTTGTAATCAGGTATTTCAATTATCTACTCAAAGTTATTCCCCTAAATTAATACCACTGTGAACCTAGCGGTGACCTAATTGCAGCCTTCCCATATCTGAAGGGAGCCCACAAGAAAGATGGACAGGGACTTCTTGCAAGAGCATGTACTGACAGGATAAGAGGGAATGGCTTCAAGCTGAAAGAGAGTAGGCTAGGATTAGATATTACAAAAAAATTCTTTGCTGTGAGGGTGATGAGGCACTGGAACAGGTTGCTCAAAGAAGTTGTGGATGCCCCATCCCTGGAAGCGTCAAGGCCAGGTTGGATGGGGGGCTGAGCAACTTGGTCTAGTGGAATGTGTCCCTGCCCTTGGGAGGGGGGTTGGAACAAGATGGTATTTAAGGTCCCTTCCAACTCTAATCATTCTATAATTCTGTAATTTGTTAAAAATCTCATGGCTATGAAGTGCAGTTCAGGCCACTTATGCATCGTTTTTTAAAGGAAACAGACATTCATTCATAATGCCTCGAGTAAAAATACAAAAGTGAACATTTTCTGACAGTTCTATACTGTCATTTACACAGTTTTGTTTTATAAACAGCAGAAGCATCATATTCACTGCTGCTTTTGAAAGCATTTTACCATTCAAGTTACCCAAAAAATAACTTCAGGGCTCTTGTGGGAGCTCCATGTTAATCTAACATCATTGTGTTGCTTTATTTCTCATTCAAGATACTGTGTTTTTTTTTTCCTCCATGGTTTTAACAGCATCAGTTATGTTGGCTGGTCAAATCAAGTAAAATAATAGAGTTAACACAGTGTCAGTTGAGAGAGAGAAAACAGAGCTGGAATATTTCTGTGAGTAGGGTTACGAATGGCAGCCCTCAGAGGGCTTCTGAGATTTCTTCCCCCAGAATGTATCACTGGTTTCATGAGGAATGAACAACTGATGATGCCTCCTTCTCACTTCCTTATATGTTTAAGAGACATCCGGATCTAGTGAAATGGTTTAGTGGTTTAAGGATTACAGTGGTAGTGCTGGGTTCAAGGTTGGACTGGATGATCTTAAAGGTCTCTTTCAACATTGATGATTCCATGATTCTATGATCAAAACTCATTAGACCTGTGAAACCAGCTGAACATGAGCCAGCAGTGTGCCCGGGTGGCCAAGAAGGCCAATGACATCCTGGCCTGTATCAGAAACAGTGTGGCCAGCACGATTAGGGCAGTGATCCTCCCCCTGTACTAAGCACTGGTGAGGCCACACCTGCATTAAGTTTTGGGCTCCTCACTCAAAGAAAGAGATTGAGGTGTTGAAGTAAGTCCAGAGAAGGGCAACAGAGCTGATGAAGGGTCTGGAGCACAAGTCTTATGAGAAGCAGCTGAGGAGTTGGGGATGTTTAGCCTGGAGAAAAGGATGCTCGGGGGAACCTTATCACTCTACAACAACCTGAAAGCAACGTGGGGATCAGTCTCTTTTCCTAAGTAACAAGCAACATGACAGGTGAAAATGGCCTCAAGTTGTACCAAGGGAGGCTTAGATTGGATATTAGGAAAATTTTCTTCACTGAAGGAGTGATGGTCAGTCATTGGAACAGGCTGACCAAGGAAGTCGTGGAGTCACCATCCCTGAAGGTATTTAAAAGACATGTAGACATGACACTGAGGGACATGGTTTAGTGGTGGACTTGGCAGTGCTGGGTTAACCGTTAGACTGGATGACCTTAAGTATCTTTTTCAGCCTAGATGATTCTATGACTTTATGCATGGGCATATAAAGACCATGCCTTTTGAAAAGTCTATCTCTTGATCAGTTTGGGGATCATTTTTACAGCAAGGAGAAAGGAGATACACTTAAAATTTGGTCTGTATATCAGGTTCCTGCTCCAAATAGCAAACCTGTATTTACTAGAGCTTAGCAGAGAGAAACTAAGAACATTTTCAAAGATTGTATTACTTTTCTCCTACCTTCTTTCCTCAAAATAGCTCCGAATTTTTGATGCAAAACAAAAAAGCCTCAAATCAACGCAAGTTTGAAAAAAATTCAGACTAAACAATTAAAGCACAGCAAAATTATAACCAACTGACAACCAGACTTTATCACAGTAATATGAAGGGAAATAGTAATGTAACAGGAAATAATGATTTCAACATAGAGCGTTTCCTACACAGTAACAAAAATACATCATTAAATAAGAACTCATGAACATAGTGTAACAGTTAAGAATGGAAACGTACAGTGCTCTCCTTTTTCTTGGTGTGGTGAGAAGCATACCCTTGTAGTGGTGTCATTTTCAGTTTTGTTTTGGAATTGAGAGCACTTCAGGAAATCTGGCCAAGAAGCATTTACCATACCCAGGACTGGTTCACAGCCTTCTTTTGCTGCCTCGCAAAATGTCCTGCAGGGCAAGAGGCCTCGACTGAAGAAAAGAGACAGAGAACAAAAATAAAAACTATTATTACTGTAGTAGATTGTGAAAGCTTTTTAGAAAGAGAAAAAATAATAATTAACAGTTTTGAAGAATTTTGCATTCTACAGAACCACTCCAAAAAGGTGCCAAATCTTCATTATTCACTGGACGTGACATAATCTCTTGACTTTCAGGCTAAATTTAAGCCAAAATCAGGCCCAAATCAGGCTCAGAACAGTTTCCCAGACAGGGAAATAATTTAGAAATTACCAGTCTTCCAAAGCACAATCACATAGTGATCCAATAAGCCAAGCAGAATTTGCAGTCTCTAGAGAAGCTCTGATGAATCAGAAAACATGGGATTATCCAGCAATTACTGCAATATTTGGCCCAGTTATAAAGTTCAGTCATGTGTGCTCCATAAATTAAATATTTCTGGATAATGATCAAGTTTAGTATGGACATATTGCATAATTTACTGAAAGATGAAAATATTATTAAAAATCTCCATCTTGATTAGTCTTATTTACAACTACTCAGAGACCAATAATTTTAAAAGTAAACTGGCAGGTCTGTGGCAATCTTATCAGAACTGATTCGGCGCCAGGAGCAGGTTATAACATATTAGGGTGCGATTTTGCTCTTCAGCATTTTAATGGAAAAAACTCTTCCTGAAAATAGAGTTTGATGAAAGAAGTGGGTTTCCTCCCACTTAAAATTCATCCTTCAGTTATTTCAGCTGCATAGAAATACCCAAATTAAGAATTGTATGACACCAGAAGAAATAAAAATGTTCTTTATAGTTTACTAAAAAGTATATTAAGGGTAAAGAGAATAAATAAGGGTTATAAATTAGTAGAAGGTATCTTTGGAGAAGCTATTTATCAAAAGAATTTTATATCAAATATTCATTGAAGTAGATATACACAATACAGTATATACTCTAAAACTATTACGTTAAATGATTTTAAGCTTCCAAAGAGGCTACATAGTGCCTGAGAGCAGATGATTTGACTTCCTCTTCATGCCAATCACTTATAGTTCACTTAAATTGGAATTCAAATTGCTGATTATAATCCTATAGGGATCTACTCCTTATCACTTACTTAATGATGTTTACATTTTTAGACTAATTCTTTTCAGAATTTATTCTTTCTGTAATACTGACTCCTCTTCTTTGCAATCACATTACCTTGCATGGGGCTCATCAGTAGACTCTATTTCTTTAGTGTTTGTTTTGAGTACTAGAAGTTATCAAAGAAATATTCTAAAAGAAGCAGTAAAGAGAGGGAAGATCCTTTTGGCAACTCTTTTCCTCTTGCTGCAGAATTTAACACATTTTCTAAAGTTAGTTCAAGATAGCTAAAGGGTCTGACCCTCAGCCTCAGCAGCCACTGAGGGCACATCTTTTCTGGAAGCAGCAGCAGCGTGTGCAGCTCTTGTTCCCAAGTGCCTGTATCTGACTCTGAGCTGATTTCAGTTTTGCTGTTTCTAACAGCTGTTGTATACCTGCCTACCTATATCTGGTTGTGTAGTAAGCCAGGTCAAACAACTGATACAGCTAAGAGTAATGTGACAAATAAAAAAGCACTTTTTTCTTGTCTGACAACTGAGTTGGTTCCTCCGAAGGGATACAGACAAAGCAGGAATAAGATGGTAGGAGACGGAGAAGTAGAAATTGCTAAAGTCAACAACAGTATCAAATAAAATATACAATTAACCATCCTTTGGGGACTCCCCATACAACTTAGTAAATTTGATAATATATCTAGAGCTCATTATTTTCTGTGGCATTTCTTTTGTGTCTTCACATTAGTATCTCCTCTGATAAATGCACTGCCACAGCCATGCCCTATTGAGAAATTCATTACTGCAATTTTACAGATGAAAACAATAGAGGATAAATAACTTCCATGCCAAAGCTGCAAATACAGCACAAAGATCACTCTGAGAATACACAAGTGTTGTACAGTATGGCCAGTCTTCGCGGACGAAGATTTGGGAAAGGTCATTACCCTTTGAGCCTGCGCAGTGGATTTTTTTTAGGTGAGACACAGTTTGCGCTGAACTGAGCCCACCCTTTAATCCGAAAGTTAATCTGCTGGGGCCGAGCAAGCTTGGACAGTGGCAGTGAGGTCCTCAGGATTAGGTTTGTTTAGAGTGACCTTCTCTTAGATGGATGGCCTTACAGGGCTGACGAGCTCCATGTGCCCGTCAGCGATCTGTGTCCCCAGACCGGGATCCGAACCCAGGTCGCAGCAGTGAGAGTGCTGCATCCTAACCACTAGACCACCAGGGGTCACAAGTGTTGACTGCTCCTGCTAAAGGTCACATTGGCAGTTCAACAGACAACCTGACTGAAGGCAGGCTGATGAACATTTTTAGCTACTGCTGGTCCTCATTACTGTCCTTTCCCCAGCTTCATCCCTTCAGTTGTTCCAGGATACCTGTTCCTGTGGCCACACAATAAGCTGTACTCATGTATTGAGCCAAGTTGAAAACAACTGTAGAGTGTTTTGCTGGATTATTTTTTCATCCAAATCTGTTTAAGGAAAAATTTAAACTGGCATGGCTGCCAGAGGACATATTAGTCATCCACACCCATGCCACAGAGCACTGCGGAATAATCCACTGTATCATTCATAGGCACACAGGCTAAGAATGGTGATAGATCTCAGGCCTGAGACAAAAGAAAGGAAGTGGTAACACAATTGTGAGAGACTGCTGGGGCAAGGGGGATGGCTACAAGGACAAAATGAAACATGAAAAAATTACGAGAAGAAGAAAACTGAGGTTATTCTTTGTGTTTTTGCAGCCATGAAATCAAACAAGTTGATGTGGCGAGCTGACACACCAGTCATTGTTAGTTCTAATTGTTTTTAATAATTTTCAGGATTTTCTAACAATAAATACTTCCACAGAACATAGATGTAAGAAAAGGAAGTTTCTACAGTAGGGCAAATACCCACACCCAGGATTACAGTTTTCTGGAGTGATAGTTCTTGTGAAATCTTTCTCAGTACCCTCTCACAGTACACCAACATAAATAGCAGCACAGTCAGTGTCACTGAAGGCAAATTCACAAAACCCTCAGCATTGCTTTTTGATTCATGGATTTGTAAACAAATGGGCTGCTTAACATTTCACATTCACATAATCCAGAAAACACTGTACTTTTGTCTTTCATTGTTCAGTTTTCATTTTTACCTTGCAAATTAATTGGAATTTTGCATTTTCTTATGTATTTTGTCTCTAGAGATGGGTTTAAACATGAAATTTGCTTCCTTACACAGTAATAAAATCTGAAAAGAAAGCAAGATTATTTTAGATTTTTGTGGTTATTTCACTTGACAAAATTATTTTGAATCGATATAGCAACATTTAAGGATGGCACCTCAATTCCATGTAACACTTTGTGGTTCTCAATGCAGAGCTAGCCGTATGTGTCTTACTTCTTGTTTTTAGCTCAAATTCATGAAGTGTTTCCTAGAAGCAGGTTCCTGTATGTAAGTACAAAAACACAAAATCAGCCTGTAACAGGACTACTTAGCACCCACAGTATGAGAAACACCTAACACCTTAAAGGAGAACAAAAGCACTCAAAGGTGATCCTGTTAAAAGGCAGCAGCAGCTCAGTTCCCCTGGGGTAACAGCCTGAAGAATGGTTCCACCTGCCTAGACAAGATTAAGGCCTTGTATTAATTGGCTGAATTGGTGGTAGGTGTCCACTCATCTGCCCTACAGGGACTGAATATCAGGATTTACAGCTGGTGCAGAAAGCCAGTTCTCACTCATGAATGCTCCAACTGCTGTCATGAAGCTGGCAATTACAGATGAGCCACAAGAGGAATGCCCTTTCCAAGAGACTGAAAAAGATTTGTTTTATACAATGAGAATGAAAAAGATGAAAAAGATGGATATACTGAATGGGTTGCCTGCAGCATGGAAGAACATACAATCTGTTTAAAGGCTATGAGAACACAAAAGTCTCAAAACCAAATAAGATGAAAAAATTGGACTGCAATCCTTTCTGTGGGTCCATACAGATGCCTTTTACTTTTTCTCTAAAAATTACAGGTCCAATTAACTACTCCTTAATAGTTGCCATATCTTGTGGCAACAGAAAAGAGCCAGCTAAAGAATTATATTTGCAAAAGTCTTAGAAGAGATCTGACATCCAAGAGTACCATACTTAACAAAGAGCTCACACTGAAGTCTGAAGACTGTTCACACAGAGGAAGGAAATATAAATTCCTGATTTCATTGAAAGTGGAACTGGGAACAAATACAAATATACTGTTAGATTAAAAAGGCTCTTATCCATTAAGAAATTAATAAAAGAGGCAGCAGCTGATGTTGAATTTCCCATCTTCTACATCAGCTGCTGTTGTATTTATTATCTCTTTCAGGCCTAGCAATCCTTCTTGGACAATGTGGCCAAAATCAGCTGATATCCTTAAGGATGGGTAGGTACAGTCTCTACAATGCAGGTTAGAATTTTTGGTCAGTGTAATTATTTATTTTGTAGAAAAAAAAACAGATAAATGATTTTTACCGAAGTAAGGAGTCACGATTGAGTCAGCAGTGCCCTGGCAGCCAGGAGGGGCAGCCAGGAGGGGCAGCCAGGAGGGGCAGCCAGGAGGGCCAACCATGTCCGGGGGGGCATCAGGCCCAGCACTGTCAGCCGGTCAAGGGAGGGGATTGTCCCGCTCTGCTCTGCACTGGGGTGGCCTCACCTTGAATATTGTGTGCAGTTTTGGGCACCACAATATAAGAAAGTTATTAAGCTCTTAGAGAACGTCCAAAGGAGGACAACGAAGATGGTGCAGGGCCTTGAGGGGAAGCTGTATGAGGAGTGGCTGAGGGCACTTCATCTGTTCAGCCTGGAGGAGACTGAGGGGAGACCTCATTGCAGTCAGAACTTCCTTGTGAGGGGAAGAGGAGGGGCAGACACTGATCTCTTCTCTGTGGTGACCAGTGACAGGACCCAAGGGAACGGCCTGAAGTTG